TCTCGTTAAAACATAAAATGGTTTCAAACATTTAGTAAGATTACAGTTCGTTCGTGTAATGTCTTCCAACACAAGTTAATTTGTTAAAACAAGACATTACACGACGTAGTGTGTGTCGACCTCAAAAGTTTTGTAAGAAGTTGGTAATTTGTAATATAATCTTGTTACGACACTTAATTTGAGTGATAGCTCGTACACAAGGGGTCATTGAACTATGATGTGAAGTCGTGCGAATCAAGAATTAAAACATACTACGGCTTTTTATAGAGCATTTTAGAACACAGAAGTGTTTTTGTATATGTTTATTCCATTCAGTATTTTTAATCTGGAAATAATTATAAATCTGATATCTCATAAAGCATAAATATAGATAATGTTGAAGTGAATACATTCATTTCGTTTGAAAATTTGTCATTGCATGCAGAAACAATTTATCATAAGGAAAATTCATTATATCGAAAAAAATGTCTCTACTACTTAATACTACTGATTTAGTGAGTGGAGTAGTTTTAAATAAGAATTTGTTTACTCTGTAAGACATCTCTATCTCTATAATAAATAATATAATTTGCCCATTACTCAGCAATCTGATCACTTAAGAATAATATACTCTTTTTAATGGTCCTAATTGAATATAGCGCCAGTGAACCTTTACCTATAGATATAAGAGATTTTCACGTATATAGTCACTCATCACGATATCTCTGGAACCATTAGAGCTAAAGACTTGAAATTTGGTAGGTATATTCTTTTCACCGAGTAGAGGTCAGCTAAGAACGGATTTTACGAAATTCAAAAAAATAAAAAAAAGTTAAATAATGTAAATAGCAAAACATCCTTTGCAGGGTCAGCTAGTATAAATACAAACCTAATCGTACCCCAGATGCCTGTGCAGGATTTAGCATAAACAAGTCACACTATTTTAACAACTGCTTAACTAATTTACAAAAACTCTTCAAAATTAAATTGACTTTAATTACCGGACTAATACGATCTTCAAACCTTCAAGAAAAGAGCGTACTCCTTCCTAAAAGGGCGGCACGGCGACGACTCCTGAGTCGCAGACGTTCATGGCAGCGGTAGTCGCTTTCCATCAGGTGAACCGACTTGAGCTCGTTTGACCCCTCTTCCTTAATAAAAAAAAAGTCTTTGTATTATGCAATGGACAGGGTAGGTGTCACAAATATTACGGCTTGTTAAAACGCATTATTTGTTGGTATATCTACAATGTTTTCTATTAGACAATTTCTCTTGATTCAGTCTAACATTTTATGACTACTAAACTACTCATCCTCACATGAGCAGACGTCGGTCGGCGTTCTCACAATCATTAAGGTTAACGACCAAAATATGACGTTCAATTAACTTCACAACACTCTGGATTAAGCCGTCTGCATAACCCACTATTTTTAGTCGTGCGACTATTAGTCGCACAAAACTATATTATGTAAGATCGCTGGTTGACCTATTTGATGTCATAGTTTAAGTTAACACGTAGAAATTTATTTTCTGTTATTTCAAGTTGTTCATCAATCAAATGTTCTGTGTCTGAGTGTAATTAATCTATATCCAAAAAGAAGAAAGTGATAGGCTGATGCACAGAGTGATCTATTTACGCACAGCTACAACGGCTAAGTCTAAAAGCATGTAATTTTGCACAAATGTTTTTTTGGTGACGTAGGAGTGCACTAAGAAAGGATTTTTTTTTAATTGATTTTTTTTGGTATTTTCGGTAGTAGCGTTTTTAAACTTACAGTAAGTACTCTTTTGTTTGTGTCTTCTTTCATACATATACCTATAATCTTGATTCATTGTATAGTCTATGATGTCTGATGTCGACCACCACGCGGACGAATTTTACTTTAGCGACGCGTTATTAATTTTAGTTATTTATTTATTTAATTCTTTTTGCACAAACAACAATTCATTGTACAATGGCGGACTTAATGCCACAGGGATTTTCTTCCAGTCTACATTTGGATGGCGGGGAAACGTCTGAGTAGGTGCACTAGAAATTAAGTTTTAAATGTAACGAGACAATAATAATTAAGGATATGGACAGAAACAGTATGACAGAAATACATACATACATACTGAGACACACATACATATTTAGAAGTAGATATATATTTAAGTATGTTTATTTAGAAATACATATTTTGATGGGCCTGTTGGTCTAGCGGTTAGCGGCCCTGACTGCTAAGCCTTCGGTTCAGGTTCGATTCCCACCCAGGACAAATATTGTGTGATGAGCATGGTCATTTGTTCTGTGTCTGGGTGTAATTTATCTATAATATGTATGTATTTAAAAATATATAAGTATGTTTATCAGCAGTCTGGTTACTATAGCACAGGCTCTGCCTAGTGAGATGTGTAAAAAAAAAAAGTGCCCAGTTGACGGCTATAGGCTTATAATGAATCACGTAATTGGGACTAAAATAATAAATCTTGGCTTAGATATGAGTGATAAATATGCGAGTGTAAGTATGTATGTAATGTAATATAATGTACATATGTATGTAAATGTTTAATCATCTGACAAAGATGTATGTATGTCTAGGATTCATGTTCAACGTAGATAGCATTTCACATTAGTCAAGAAAACTAATGACTAATCTTAAGTAACAATTTCTTAACATCGCAAGTTGCCTAGATTGATTTTGAACTGTTTTACTTTTGAGGAGCCTTACAGACTCATAATTGTTTAATTTTACACATGACTAAAAACTTAATTGGAAATCTCATTTAAATGAAGTAAAATAATGCAGTAATCGTTAGATTTTTTAAAATTGACCGACGAACAAAAACCAGGAAGCAAGTTTTATTAATCAGTTAGCATGTAGCGTACCTAATTCTGCAAGAACAAAAATCTACGGACATTTTGAACTGTGGCCCAACTTATAACAAAGGTTTTACGTGTGCTATCATTTTGCGTGACTTTTGCTTTTTTTATATACAAAGCATATCATGGTTTTGCTTTGTTCCGGCCGTGGGCAAATAGGTTGGCGGAATTTGTTTTGCAATGCGCCAGTATGATTTGTTATTATGCAAAATAAAGACTGATTGTAAATGTTGTGTGTTTGTGTTTAAAAATGTTCCGATTTTTGGGTATAAAATCAAATAGAAAATTGGAGAAAAATCAGGTAATATTATTGAATTTATATATTTTTTATCAATAAGAATGGTGCTTATAAGAATAATATTTTAGATAGTAGGTATTTATTTAGAGACATCTTTAAATACTTTGAAATTTGTGGTTTCATTTATATTTAAAAAATAGTTATTTATAAAGGTGAACAAAATCAAAATATCTACATTTAATAAAAATTGAGAATTTTAAGTTTTTTAAAGAAATCTACGTTTTCTGTTAGTATTCCGAGAAATGTGTTTGTGTGTCCTATAAAAAAATTGAATCTAAAATATAATCTCCTATAAAAAACTGATTTTTGTTTTGTTTAAATTTTATAACCAGTTATTATAATTTTGGTTTTTAAAATATAATTGACAAGTTAGTCAAGTCGGTGACGCAATTACGAACAAATAGCATTTTTTTACAAGTTTATTTCAAGTTTGTGTTGTTAATTACATATTTTAGGTAAAGGTACTACTATTTATAAAATTTTCTTTGTTTGCTTTGCGAGAAGACAGAAAGATAATCAACTTTCAAGATTATGTTATTTCTATTGATTACGATTTTTTTAATAAATATATAATAAATATTTAGTAATGTATGTATAACATAAGCCTAAGCCTAGGGGGATTAAGATCATGATAACCTTTATTTACTAATTTATTAGGAATATGAATTCCTTGTAAATGACATATAAATGATGAAATTAAATTTCAAAGTATGTGTAATTTAATTTACAAATATAGTAAAAAGGCATCCAATCAATTTTATATATAAGCATTTACCCGCGTCCGCTCGGGTTTATTTCTATTATATTACTTAATATTTTTCAGGACAAAACTAGCCTATGGAGTATATCAAATTTTTAAATGTATCTCTGTGCCTAATTTTATCTAAATCTGGTCAGTCGTTTTGGGCGTGATGGAGTAACAAACATCCATACATTAATAACATATGAGTATATAAAGAGTCCGTGTGGTGACGGATTAAGAATACAAAGTGTCACCACCCCAATTCATCCCGTGGGTGTCGTAAGCGACTAAGGGAGCAAACTAAGCAGGACAACAGCACTGCAAAGAGAAGGAAATCTTGAAACAAACCCTATACTAACCCGTCTGGCCAGCGTGGTATAGTAGGCCAAAACCTCCTTTCTAAGGAGAGGACTATGTCCAGCAGTGGACTAGTATAGGCTGTTGATGTGAGTATATAAAAAGATGAGCCTGATGACCTTTCTCTAGGGTCATCGTGGTCATCTCATTTCTGTTGTGATGTAGTAGTGCCTAGTATTTTTTACTTTATGATTATTCCTGTTTACGTTTAAAGTGCACTGTAAAAGGTCTGGTCGGTATAAAATATTTGAGGTAGAAAACAGCAACAATTTACAAAAAGCCTAAAAGTAGGCCTAATGCGTATCAATGATGAGTATTGTAATTATCAAATTCGTCACAACCGCGATAATATACAGTCAATATCATTAAATATTATCACTCACAATTGCTGCGATAAGTATGCAGAACATTATATTTAGTTTGATGATGAAAAGGAAATACATCGAAACCCTGTAATACAGATTGTCTTTCTCTTTTCTTCCCATTCGTAACATAATACTTTCCAGAGTAAATCTATTTAATTTTTACGTCATTCATATTCGTAGTAACAATTTCACATTAAAATATCTAGGTTTTTTTATCTCGATTTCAAACGCCACTCGATATTAACTCGCAGCTACATTCGTTGGACTCTTATCGCGATAACAGTTTTATACGAAGGATAAGTAGAACTCATAGTCAGGATATCACAGGCCTCTGTGCAAGGGAAACGTACACTCAGTGGGCATTACTTTTTATTGGCTGTCATTTCCGTGGGAGAGATGGTAAATATTATTTTTTATACTGCTTTGTTTAAAGTGTTATTCCAGTTCAATTGGAGGTAGTGTTTCTCTTTATTTATATAACGTGTCACATTGAATGAGTAAAGTGTATACTGCGAATGAAATTGAATATTTGAATGAATTTCTGACTCAGTTTAGCTGCATAGGCTTGTGTAATGTCATATAATTTGTTTTGGCCGTCACTAATCTTCAGTCTAATTGACTTTTTGTTACAAATAGATTGAGGTTTGATTTTAATCTGTTACTAATTTATATTTATTTATTGATACATAAAATACAGTTAGGTTAATTTATTATGAGTCGATTAGTAACGTAATAGTTACATCAATAATATTATGTTTTGAAGACTTGCAACAATATTAACGTTTTTATTCAATTCCATGTAATGTATGCCAGGCATCGTCAAGGACGTTATTTTCTCATGTTTTTTCATTGTTTATTAAACTCAGTTCAGTGTTTAGTCTTCTCTGAATCAGTGATATGACGTGAAATATACAACATAACCATTAGATAGATTTAAAATGGCAGTAAAATTGTGCGTGGCTTTTATTTTTTACTAGCTTCTGCCCGCGGTGCCGCCCGGTAATAAATAGCCTATGTTACTCGCTGATAATGTAGCTTTCCATTGGTAAAATAATTTTTAAAACAGGTTTAAAACAGACAGAGAGAAACAAAACCTTTAAATTGGCTGTACCTTATCCCGATGTTTCTTTGAAACTTTTTCTAAACTATTTATATGTTTTTAAGGATAAATAAAGGAAACATATATGAAAATTAAAGAAATATATTATATCTTGATATTTTTTTAATGTCACTTATGTGTGACATCTACTAGTAAACTAGTTTACAGAATTGAGTGCAGCAAATATGTCACATAAAACGTACATTGACAGTTTAAGTAGTTAGCGAAATAATATTAAATAATATAAAATAAAATATATCATCATCATCATCATCATCATCAGCCTATCGCAGTCCACTGCTGGACATAGGCCTCTCCCATTGCACGCCACTTAGATCGATTTTGGGCTTCTCACATCCAGCTCAATAAAATTTATAATACAAAATTATTAGAAAACATTAGACTTTTAACTAATTTTAAGACCAAGATGAAGTAGGAACCATGAAATATACAAATGCTACCCACAATTAACAAATTAAAAACTTAAATCTTAACTATCCACCTCCGGTTATAAAAATAAACATCTAAAGCAAAATCAAACAAAACAATTGCTTATTTTTGTGGAATAGTTGGAAACTACTTTTTTAACTGTGAAACAAAGTCTGTTCACATTTCAAACACATGAGTTTCTTCATTTTCACACAAGCGGCTTCGTCCCTGAGACGTCTAAACGGAAAAATTCTAATTCATCGACGGGACGAGGTATGAAAGGCTTGGTGATGGTATTAGACCTAGGATTAAGGAGCCCTTTTAGGAATTGAGATTTGGTGTAGGTTTTAACGAGTACAAGGGCAGCCTGTATGTGAAACTTTTTAGGGAAAAACTTATTTTCGTTGCCAAGTTATACACAATCAATAGCGTTGGCTTTTGGTTGAAAAAACCACCAGCTGTGTCCACTTCCACGCCTCTTGTATATTTGGTTTTCTTAAATATAACTCCTAATTGTCTTAGTTTGCGGTTTTTGCAACAAATTGTGCAGATAGAAGTAGCATGGAGGACGACTCAATACTGGCGATTTGTTTGGTACGGCGACGTGTGGTGACTCTACTTGATTTTAGTGGAGATCTTATGGAAGTTGTAGATAGTGTTGCTGGTATAACGCAAGGTGGTAGAAATTGACGTCTAGCTACTAATAAAGATCATTCTGATGTCAAAGGCCGTGTTTCGTTTTGGTTTGAGTCGATCTCTGATGTAAAACCACCTAAATATGTGTCTGATTCTTCGAAGTTAATGGGATCTTGAATTATCTCATAATTAAAGGGCGAAATACTCCTCAATATGCTTTTCTCCTCGTCATCTTCAGATTCAATCTCCGAATCTTTAGAATCGGTTGGAGGTAATAGCGCAAGAGTTTGTTTGTTTGAATATCGTTAATCCCAAAACTTAAACCATAAAAATGTGGTATATATCTATGTTACATACAATATAATGTAAATAGTAAACTAACATTCTACTAGTTATTAATGACATGAAATGACAAATACAAGCAACCGTACTTTGTGGGCCTTTTAGGCAATGTCCGTTACAAAGGACAAACATAAAAGTTACTCTTTCTGAGACCTAATAGGCGATGTCCGTTCCAAGAGACAATAAGATTTTTATGGATATTGAAAAAAAAAACGAATGCTACGGTAATAAAAACAATTGAATACTATTGGTTTATCATTATTTTAAATAAATTAAACATGAGAAAAAAATAAAAGAAAGAAATACTTATCTAATAATAATATTTTTGACGAGTGCAAACTAAGTCCATCGTGCCAATATTTACAACGCATCTATTGGGCTATGAAGCGATACAAACGAGCGAATATTAAAAGAATAGGCTGTTTTACACGACGGACGTACCGTGTGACAGGGGAAAAAGTCACCTCAAATCACACTTGTATGCGTCTTATAACATGTCACATAAAACGAACAGAAACAATTTAAGGGTTAATGACTTAGGCGTGAACTTAGCGTAACCAATAAACTCACCTTTACATTTATAATATAAGTATGGATATAAAATATAACACAACAGAAAAGAGATGAAAAGATAACCAAACTTTCCTATTTACTAAACCTTAATAAACAAATACACGGATTGCAGAAAAAGAAATAGAAAAGAAATAAATGTAATTTGGAAACCAATAATAAGAAATCTTACAATGAATATATTAAGTAACAACATATGAGCGGGCTAGATCGGCGTGTACCACGACCTTGCAAATAACCGGTGTTAAGTACTTTTTTTTGCATTTCATCGAGTGAGTGACCAAACATAACCACCCTAATTCTGACGGGTTCACTCAAAGGCCGACAATTCCTTAGTGACTCTTGAGTCACAGATTTTCCTTGGCACTGATAGTCACTTCCTATTAGATGACTCTTCTGTCCTACACCATGAAGCAAATGTGAATATTTGCAGATTCTGTTAAAAAATACCCGGAGAAGCACCTTCTTCTGGTTGAAAATTTGAATATGTAATGCACATGTGATTACGTACGTAAATACGTAATGCACGCTTTAAGCGTTGCATCGTGACGCTGCACTAATAACTCTTACGTCAGACAATGACAACTTCTAATACCTTGAACTCCAGCCAGGAGCCACTACTCAGAGACACTCCAATAACTAATCTGTTAGTCTAATACTGAATTCATAAAATACATTTTTTATTATTAAAAGAAAAACTCCAGCATTAGGAATATATCCTGTATCGCGGGGACTTAACAAACATACATCCAACGGACACAAATAACACCCAGACTCAGAACAACAATTTTTGCATCACACAAAGTGTCGTCTTAAGTGGGGATCGGACCCTGATGACTTGAAATAAGTGGATTAAAATAAAGGCCGCTGATTCTCTAGTACATAGTTATATTGTTCTAAAAGGCGATCTAATGAGTCCGTAAGTCGAAAGCTGAGTGGTAAAAAAAAATTTATAGGCGGCGCGCTTGTCCTTTTGTACCGCGTGTCTCCCCCTCACAGTCCCCGCTGGGTACGTGCGCCAACAGACCCACAACAGTCGCCTAGTAGTAAGCGCCGTGGCGACCGCTTAAACCACTACGCCATCCGTGCAGTCAAATTTATTATGTGATACGTTATCACAAAACATATATAACAGTATCTCATTACGGATACAATATTTCCATAAATAATACACCATCGTTATCAGAGAGGTAGGTCAATTAGAACCAATCATCGACGAGCCCTGGTTTTGCTCAGGTATAAGTAGGTGTATCAGGTTTAAGCATTTTTTGATTCAGTAGCACGTGGGTCGATACTAAAAGCTTTTCTTGCAAATCATCTAGTACAACTAGTGGTGAACGTCGCATCAAAATTCGTTGCGTGTTTAAGGAGGAGATAGCAGATCTATATCTGGTATCTCCTGAATGTTTCTATAAACGCAAGCTGTTTCTAGAAGCAGACGCATAAATCGACTTTATTTTATACTATGTAAAGATATTACTGTAAAATATTTGGCAAAACAAAGTGGAGGTAATTTTTGACACATGTTTAAAACATGTTTATATAATTAAATTTAGACAGATCTTTTATAGATAATAAATATTAGGATAAAATAGTAGAATTTAACTTTAAGAAAACTCTAATTTAATTATTTCATTTTATTTTTTATCATATTATCTTAATGTTTTTAATGTCTTAATGTTCATTTCCTCCCAGTCTACCTAAGGGTGGTTGTGAAATATGTGATTAGGAGCATTAGACATTGTGTAAAGTAAGAGAAAATGATTGAGAAGTTAGACAGAAACAATGAGATAAATTTACATACATATGTACCAAATGCATACAAACACATAAATTCTTATCTAGTTACATGCATACATAAACCTATATATTAATAATATATAAAACTTTAAGTTTGTAATGAATCTGCTAGGGTGTCCAGAATACGAGCTCGAAATTTCATGTTGAACGAGTGGCGTCTGGGTGCTATCCTGATTTCTAAAATTAAGGTGGTTCCAGAGGAGTACGGATTGGATTAGGAACGAGGAGTGGGCACAAGTGGAAGTATGAGTGGGGCATAGCAGAACATATATAATTAAATATTAATATACAAATTCATTGAATATTTATAATATTATTATACCATTGTTATGAAATTCAATTCAATACAAATATAACCAAAAACGTTGCCTAAAATTACTCAAACCATATTAAATAAATAATGGTTAGCCATCAAAAACAAGTACAGTTATACATATTACATACGAAACCATAACAATGTAAACTGCTTAATTATCAATGGTCCTCGTGTTAAGCAAGTTCTGTGTTATAAAAATAGATTTTA